GTATATGCAAGATTAGGCCATAAAATCTTCAAAAAACACTACACAAGAAGAGCCCTCAGCATAAAAAGCAGAGCAGCAGGGTGCAAGCGGCCCAGGAGCTGTACTTCACAGTCTCTCTTCACCAGCAGTTACAAATTGGCCCCAGCAAGACTGGCGCCCGCGGCAAGAAATCATGATGCCACAGGAATATTGCCAGCGTCTTCCAGTATCTGATACCCCAAAGGAGACAGTAAATCTGACTCTAGTCTCTGCTAGATTAACAAACGAGTCTGAGAAGCACAAACTTTCATCTCCCATATTTTATAATACTTAGGCACAGTCGCATCAAATTTTCAAACCACTCTAACGTTGCCCAAGTTTTGTTGAAAATACTTTATTAATAGAGGAAGTGTTTGTTCTCTCTGCCCAAAAGAATGCTGAATAATCGCTACACCGTACTCTATTCAACATGGCCCAGGAGGGTGTGTCGCTGCAGTTTGAGGAAAGAGTAAGGGAGGGCAGTGGTATCTACAGACATACCTGGTAGCCACTAATACTTGGTGAGGAGCCAGAGTTACTGCCACCATCACAGTGGCACAAGAGAAGGGAATATGGCAATATACTTCTTCCTACACACGCACAACTCTGCTACTACTGACTGCAAAGTTGACCCAAGGGCAGCACATGTTTCCTCAGACTCCTGAGGTTAAACCATTCGTCCTGTTTAATCTGTTAGAACCATCAGTGCACCGGTAGCAGAATGGAACCTGAAAATCCTACCGGATTGGGCTGCAGTAACTGGTAAACCTGGTATTTCCAGCCTGCAGTCAAAACAAACATGAGGATAAAATCACAGCCTTTTTTACTTTTTTTTTTCCTTCCCTTTTTTATTTTTTTTAAAGCAGTAGTCAAAAGCCCTCTTGAAGCCTTGTTTATAAGCAAACCAGTCTCAAAGGCTGGATTTGCATTGGCAGGGTTTGGAGCCTGCAAAATAAACCTTTCTAGGTAGTGTTTTCCTTCTGCCTATAAGGAAGGAATGGTTTCTAGTGTAATTTCTCCCAGACTACATCCCTTTCAAACTACACTGAAGAAAATGCCTAATTCAACACAGCTGGCCTCACCAAGCTTCCCCGGGAGCCCTTGCACTCTGAGCACGCACCTGCAATCCTTCCTTTCGGCAGGCAATGAATGGTAACACACAATCTGACAGCCCATTGACAGGGTGAAATCACTACTGCCATTCAAAACCAGGAGAATGTACAGAAGCTGGTACTTAGTTGCAATTTCTTTGGCAGAAATCATTCCGGTTGGGGATACTTTACATTCCAGTATAGTGGATACTGCAAAACATCTTTAAAAAAAGTATACTACTTTAATCAACACTAAGGTTCCAAACTGAGTGCCAAGTTACAGCTTGAAACAAGTTCTGTGATCACCTAGTGATAAAACTCCTAGAAAAATGGTTTCCAATTACCTATAGTTTTTTGTCTACTGTCCCATGTTCTCCATTCTCCAAGGACCTTTGTGCTACTAATGTTGTGCATATAGTAGTGATTAAGTGAACTAGACCACCAACTGTGCTCAACTTTTACTCCACCCATAACCAGCTATTTTAATAAAGAGCCTCTGGTAAGAAAACTGCACTTTGGCTTCTGAAAATTATTATTATAATAGGAAAGCCAGAAAAATTATAAAGCATCTGTTGAATTCAGCTGTGAGGATAGTGACTTCCCATGCTTTTAAAAACTTCATTCTTTCACCACTCCTAGTGAACAAAGCAGAAGTGTTTACTATAATTCCTGCACTTCTTTAAGGTTCTAAATTCTTTGCATTTCAGCCAAGCTTCATGTATCAGAAAGAAATGACATGATTAGGTGTTAATTAAGGTTTGGGATCTTAATATGCAAGGAAGATTTAAAAAATGCAATGAAATTAGCATGAACTTCTAGTAAAAGACAGCCCTAACATTTCCTCTGGTAGATGCAGACATTTGGGAAAAAACTTGACTTTTCGTAATAGGTAACTTCAAAGCCACTTCTTTCAGTTCTGCGCACAGTCCTTCCGCACGGGTGGAGCGCACATCCTCTCAGGAGCTCGCTGCCAAGACTTGTACTACTCCCTCATTTTATGATCATAAATGTGTCATGGAAGATCATGTGGTTAAAAGACATCTAAAATGACTCTGCTGCATTGAGTTGAACACTAGAGAGTAGACTAAAAATGTATCCCCTCACATCGCGGGTGTACATCTGGTCACACGATAGGGAGCACAAGCAGTTTGCAATATGGAACTGAATGTGTAGGCAGACCCTTGCTCACGTGAGGTGCTGCGCAGTTGCCTTTTTGCCATGTCATGAGAGAGAAACTGCGAAGACGGGACTGATGTGCAGAAAGGCCACCTGACCTGCAGACCCCCTTCCTGGCCCATGTCTAGCCAGGCTGGGCAATCCTCCTTTACAGTGTCCTGTATGTGAAATAACAGTCTTCACCAAGGAAATGGACCTCTAGGATGTGGCTTTCTTTTCAAAACATATTTGGACACACAAGATGCAATGACACACTTTGTGTGATGAGAAGAATGAGCATAATGCTCAGAAGTTAATTGAAACTAATGCACCCATACAGCACATATTTAAAAGGAAAAAGAATTCTTCATCTTGAAGAAATCATCACTTGTAAATCCCAGCAAATGCCTGAACAGTCTCTACTGCTTCACTTACCTCACAAAATGCAGTTTGTAATCCCACCTGATACACTCCTAAGAGTCTCCCTTCTGAACTTTTTAAGGGATAAAGCTTTGGAAGTTTCCCAGCTCCCTTTTCGAAAGAGTTTAGAGATTCATGCACTATCACGTTCTATGATGGTTCAATACTTGACATTGCTCAGAGGGCAAATAAGGTTATTAATGAAAACGTCACCATCTGCGGACTTGAAGAGCCATAATCAATACCAAGATACATGAGATACATGGAGACTGTCTATCAGTAGAATCAGAGTGACTCAGCAGAAGGTAATGAGAATCTTCCGTTCTGTATCAATACTGGAGACACAGTGCGGTGGGGGAATGAAACAATCATATACAGCAGAAGACCACCACGCTGCTGCCTGGAGTTCTGCATACTGCTTTTAGAACTCGCTGCTAAGAAACGACAAGTCATCTTACAACCAATCAATATATAAAAGAGGTTTATCTCTGTTCAAGTCCATGCAGCAAGATCACTTAGATGTGTTTCAAACTTAACAGTCTCTATTCTTCTCTATTTCTGGTGTTTAGTTTTCACTTTCAGCCTCCTACTGAGATGGCATGTGACTAGAAGCATCTGACAATTTCCAACGCTCTCATTCATCGCTGTGTGCTGCTAGAGCACTTTTTCCATTCACCTTTTTTCTTACACCCTTCTGCAATTGACTCAGACTGTATTACCAAGCCTGAAGTTCACTGATCATTGACTGCTTACGGCTTAATTGCTGCGCAAAAAAACCGAGCAAACACCAAGTCTCTTAAATGTCAGCCAAACAGTACTGGCACCTTCTTCCCCACCAAGGACGTTAATGATTTCAAATCTTCTAAAAAAGCCCAATTGATACATCTTCCTACCCAGTCTACTTCATGAGCAGTAAAAGCTGCAGAGATCCTACTACTTACATACTTCCAATAAGTTAAAAGCTGCTTCTGTAAAGGCTTACTAACTTTTTACAAAGATTAAAAAAACAAACCTGAAAGTTTTTACGGCCAAACCTGGCCCATCCATACTCAGTATTGTAACGCACAGCCTCACATGATGGCATCAAAAAGCTTTAATTAGCTACAATGTTACAACATATTATTATATGATGAACCACTGACCTATTAATCCAAACGAAATAAATCACGGCAGTGCTAGCTGAAAAGGAGGGCTGAACTCATTCAAGCTGTAGGAGACTGTGAAGCAAGGTCTATGGCAGCATGCTGAAATACCATTAGCTCTTCAGAAGCTACAAAAATTTCATAGAGAAATCCTGAAGTATTCTGTAGAAAATGTCAAAAACTTATACAAACACTGTGAGCTGCCAACAATATTTTAAAGAAGAATAGGAAAAAAATTCTGGCATTTAGCATCTTTCATCTAAGTGTTCTGAGGAGCTTTATAAGCGCTAGTACCAGGAAAGGTTTAAGTAAATGATATCTGTTCTAGGGCAGGGAAATTGGCACACTAGGCATTAACTAAGCAGTGAAGAAAAACTAGGAATTCTAATGCCAACCACCTAGCTGTTCTTATCCTCAGATTATGACAGTTCTAATGAGATCTGTGTAACTCCAATAATGTGAATAGAGAGTTCAGAGTAGTATATTATTTGTTACCCTCTATCGTAATATTCATGGTTTTTTACACGCACATGGGAGTGTCCAATAAAAGAAAGAAACTTGATAAAGCTTTTTAATACAAATTTTAAACAACTCCATACATGGGAAAATTAACAGTCATAGGCAGAAATACACATTTTATGATAATTTTATGATCAATAATAAATATTTATTTAGCGTAATAATATTCAGTGCATCGGTTTTTAGTATCAAAGTCTTGATGAAATGTACTGAACAAATTCCAGGCCCTGCCTGTGTTAAACAGGAAGCTCATCTTGCATTGCTTGTTATTGCTAATTCCCATATGACATGTTTTACAATACCTATGTGATTAGGGCAGAAAGAAATCTGAATTTGTTATAATACCAAAAATGGATCAGGATTAAGCCACCATATTTTCCAGCAAGAAAGGAATCCGATCCATCTTCTTCAATAGCTTACTACCATATATGTATACACATAATTATATTTTTTCTTTTCCCCTGAAGCTGTTTTACTATGAAGATGTCAACTTGTAAGTACTCTAACACAACAGTCACCACAAGCAGCTTATTTTTTCACTGAAAAGTCAGTATCAAACACCAGTCTCGCTTATCTGAGACAAGAAAAATATTCCTGGTTCAGTGGCTATGTTTCTACCAAACATGGAGAGAAAAGGAGGAAATACTGTACTTACTTGTTAAAAAGATTCAGGCCAATCCTATAATGGCGTTTCCTGATAACATCGTTACTGAAGGCAGGGGAATCCCAGCTGTTGCGAGTTTCTTTGTGGTATGTTTGCTTGCTCAAGGTTTGCTCCCTTAGGCTGTCTCTAGAAGAAGATTCTGAGCTGCAATTTATTGTATCATTAGAGTTGGAAGTGCTGTTGATGCTGTCATTGTCTCCATCAGAATAATCGGACTCTGATTTGCTTTGCCTGTTTGCTGTGCCATTGATAGCTAAATGACTATCTATAGGCCTAGCCCTATGTCTTGCCTCCTGTTCCTCTCGGGTTATTATTTTGGCAGGGATACTGTGAGGGATGTGTTTCGGGCTTCCTTGTTGACTAGTGATCCCTCGGTCATATGCATTTTGTCTCTTTAATGAGCCTCTCTCTGAGCGATCACTCAAGTCCACTGAACTGTCACTGGGTGGCTCTATAGTCAGCAGTGGTAGATGATCCATTCTCATCCTCTGTTCCTGACATTCCAGTGACGGGGTACTCCTGCAGCTCGTATCAGTGTCTATTTTATCATCTTTGTGGGTCATGGACCAGTACTCTTGAGAAGAGTTCATGGACCGGAGCCTCAAATCAGATTCTGTGCTGGATGGCCTGTCTACTGACTGGGAAAGTGGAAGGGGTGGAGATAACTCTTCCTCATCAATATATAACGTAACATCACTGTATGACGCTGTCATCTCATCAAGCTTCCTGTGATCCACATTGTGAATCGCTGGTTTAGTTTGACCACAAGTATCCCTTTCCATTTCACGACTTCTGACTTGATCCGGAGTCTGGACTTCATCAGAATGTAGACTGCGGCAATTCAGTGCGTCATCAATGGACTCTGCAAGGGATTTCACTTGCCTGGAAAAAGCATCCTCCAGTTCTGTTATAGCATCAGCAAAATCAGTAGATGCTGCTGGAGACTTCATTGTAGCTGACTCTCCAAGGTCACTGCATTCCGACTGAACCAGGGATCCCAGCTTTGACCCATCATTTGTAACAGAAACTTGTTTTCCTTCAAAGTAAGAGCTGTGGACTTTCTCAGGTCCTTCAAAGGAAAACTGCATTCTCATATTGGACAGTACAATGCGTCTTGACATACGATTTTCAGACATAGAACTTCTGAGACGCTCAAAGTTTTTGTTCATCTGATACTGGCGAAAAGCTGTTTGTATAGTACGAGCAGCATGTCTAGTTATGAGACGGCCTCCATATTTCCGTTCTAGCATTTCCACCTGTGAAAGGGTGAACACAAATACTTTGTAACTTGATGCAGGTTAGAACAAGGTTAAAGTATAAAAAAAAAAATTATTTTAACAACTTTAATTTTCAGAAATTTTTCAAAGTGTATACTGTTTTTGAAAGTAAAAACTCAAAGCTCCAGACTAACAACTGCACAAATAGTGAACCCAATAGTCATTTGCAAATTCCACCATAAAAATACAGATGAAAATATGGCTATGTGCATACTGTCATATAAAATTAAGGTGTTGCCAATTTGTGTGTGTGTTTAAATTTTGGGTTTCACACATTAGCATTGGTGTGCCCATGTCAAAGCAGAAAGATAGCACTCTAATGCAGCATAATGCAGTCATTCTCTCTCTGTAGGGACAACTGTAGAGAACTGAAATCCAAGGATAATGTAAATTGCAATATTTTGGGAGTAAATTCTAAAAGTGGCCATCACCTTTCCAGGCACACATTGCTTTCAGCATGAATAAAAACTGGGTAGGATCGTTTCACCCAGGCCTGATATCAAAGCAAAACTGAGCCTCCCAGACCATACGCTTCCAGAGGTTTCTCTGATAGAATATCCATATACACAGTCCTCCTCAAACTAAGAACATATTTCAGACTTTCTGAATGCAAATTCAAATCTATTTGCATTCTTGTAATTAAACTCAACGTTGCCAGTGTTTCCAATTAACAAAATGAATATGCAAAATAAATACATTACAAATGCTATCAATTTAACCTAGTGAAAATGACATGTCAATACTTTTAGAATACTCATTAGATATTTTCAAACCCTTCCTTCCAAATCCTGAAAAGCATTGCTTATTTTAAAAACACTGAAAAAGATGAGTAACTGTGATCTGTGCTGATCAGTCTTTGCGGATCCGCATTATTCACAAACACAGAACATACATCACAAATAAATATGCTTAGCACTACAATTAAACCCAACATTTTTCTGGCAGCATTTTTTTATAAGTCCATGTACTTTTCATAATACTCCAATGATTCAAAAGTCAGTTCTCCTCACTTGCAAACCCAGGTACCCTTTTTTATTAGACATCACGTTTTAATCACGTTATGTACACATGCACACACAGCCTCCTCCCCCCATACTTGGAGATCTCTCCAAGTAATTGTTAAGTTTGGATATCGATGTGCAGAGGGGCTTCATCCCCTTCTGTGGAAGGAACTAAATTCTACTAAAAAATATTTTCTAGTCCGTTTTGTCTACCATTTGGGAGCAGCTGACTTATTTCTTCCAGTGCTCCCATTCCCCTTCCACATTGAGGATGAAGTCCTTTTTGGCTTGGTGTTTTTAAATGTGAATCACTAATTTTTTTTTTTTTAATTCTAGATGCAAAAAATATTATGCACAGTTATTGGCATAAACTGAGGATGTCACCTTCTCAGATGGGCTCAGATCAGGATTACTGCTAAGGAACTGTTCTTTTGACTGTACCTTGAAACTTCTTTTAACTAAGCTCAAAAACCTGTGACTGATCTCTGAGCTGGGAATCTGTAAAGCTCTGTATAATTTTCTGTAGTTCATCTTTAAAACAATTGTTTAGCCTTTCGCCCCCAAATGGGGGTTATACTACCCCCACATTTGGACATGTCAAAGAGGATATAAGGTTACTTGTACGTGATTCTGAAGATTAAAAAAATTATTAAGAACTTCAAACACAACCCTGCCACTGGTGCTACACATTTGCTACTATTTCTATCCACAGTATACATTAGGTCACGTGTGTTTAAATAAATCCTGAGAGATTATTTTGCTGGACTAATCTCAAAACAAATGATGAATTGTTAATTTAGTTGTCCTCTGAAAATTAAATGTCAAACCTAAAGAAAAGAAAACTGGCATAGCTGGTGTGAAAGAATAAAACAAAAAGTAATATTCTATAAAATAAATGATCTCGACTTTATTCTTGCAAATGGGCTGTTGCCCTTCAGGTTTACACAGAAAATATCATCATTGATTATCATAAATTAGGGGGTTGTGGCGGGAATTTTAATTAGGAGTATTGTGGAATTTGCCTAGATGATTTACTAGATTTGTAACTAATATTTCTAATAAATTTTAATGCATATTTAGTGCACCTTTTAATGCATATTTAATGCACATTGCCTATAGGTAAAGCCTTGGACATTTTCCTAAATAGATTTTCAGTATCTTCTGAGATTGCAATGAGAGCTTTTCAAAAGCAGTAAGCAACTCTCCAGTATCAAGCTTCCTTTATGTATCATTGTCACTTTTTATTGTGTAGGACTCCCTGAGCAAATACAAAACAACATCTGCAGTCCTCATTCTCTATCAAACCAGCATAAAAGGACAGATGGAATTAGGCTCTGTGGAGTATCTGCAGTGCAGGAGACCTCTTCAGTAAGCCTTACGCTCTATATCAATCCCTTATGAGACATCTAGCAAAAATGATTGCCGAAGGTGGAAAAGGAAGTAACATTTTAGATAACAGAAGGAGGTCCAATTTAATAGCAGAGCTGGCACAATCTAGATCAATAATCAGGAACTTGATATGTTCCCACTCCTTTGAGGGGGGCAGACTTTGCTGAGCATACAGACTTTGATGAGCATAAAGGCTAAACTAAACTCATATTTGCTATGTTAAATATTGGCTTCAACTTTAAGTCAGAGCTCAAGCTCTGTTCTTCTAGGTCTCTCTGGAACAACAATATATGATTCTCCAACCTGAAATTTTAGAATGAACAAACAGGTGGCAAGTGAGACTTAGCCCCTATAAATTTCACTGACTATCAATGTGTGGTCCATAATCAAGAGTAGTTCACTTCCTATCTGCAGAATTTTGCCTGCTTCCACTTTTGCCATGTTAATGTACAAGTTGGAGTGACTATGCAATAGACCACAGTAATTCACAGTAAACAAAATAGTCTGTGGCAAGAAAGGTCTTTAACAAAAGAAAAAAACCCCAAAATCAACAACCCACAACCAAAAAGCCCAAGCACAAACCCATTAAAAAACATTGATGTATTTGGCTACTGTTCATCTGCCAGTGAAATCCAGTGCTTCCTGCATATTTGCTTACCTTATGCTATTACAGCATCATTTTCAAATTATAAATATGAACTTACATGGCAAGAAACATCTTTCAAATAGGACTACCTTCAGAATAAAGCTTAAAAGGAATGGCTGAGGCTGAGTGTCTTACAGAAGTGTCTTTTTAGGGGCAAAGGCTTTCAACATCTACATAGCTTCCATCTAGTTCTTTGTAAAGCATATGGGAGTTTTTCCTAGTTGAGTAAAACCAATTAAGACTTTGAATTTACCCCACAAATATGACAGAATATCAGCTGCACGAAGTTCTTCCTTCCTTGCAGCAACAACAAAGATAGCCAGGTTTCAAAATCACTCACTCTCTTAGAAAAATATTTTGCATTATTACATTCTACTACTTGTCCCAAGCATGAAACCACAATTCCTAGTAGAACTGTTTTTAACTTATCTTTAACGATTTTTTTCAGGAAGGGGGGGAAGGTGTATGGAACACAGGGATGACGCAACAGAGAAAAAAAGAGTCAAAAACCTCAGAAATGCTGACGTATGACTATTTTGAATTAAGTTGGTCACAGGAAAAGAAGATGTTTTCAGCATCACAACTGAAGTGATGCTAGAAAAGATTTTTCCCAGCTTACAGACATGTTGCCATTGTCATAAATTAGGTAACAAAGCTCAAATACCTGCTTATCTTGTAGGTCTGAAGAGAGTTCATAGCTCTCAGAAAGTGATCTTGACCTTTTAATAGCTTCTTCCTCTGCTTGTTTTCGCAGTATGGATGTTGAGTGCTGAAGTTTCGGCCTCCGAGACCTTTGTTGTCCAGGGGAGACAGAATACAGCCCGTAAGCAGAATGATCGTAATGGTCTGGACTTACAGCTGAACTGTGTGTTATAGGTCCTTGATGGTAAGCGGATGGGCTATCCAAAGATGTGCCAGTTTCACTGCTTGGAGCTTCACCCTCAACACTAGACAGAATGAAAAAACAGGAAAATCCTCAGGTGAGCATTGTATACCAAAACTCTCAGTAACAAATAGCATGGTTTTGCTTAGTATCTTTATATGTAGACAGCCAGCACATTTGGTACAAATTCAGATGCAGTTAGTACAGGGTAATGTGGCTTTCATGTCGAACACCAGTTTTCACTGTAATCTAAGCAAGTCTCTATTTCTGTTGCACAGGTCATCTTCAGAGCATGAGTCAAGCAGTAATTACTAATAACATCCTGAGTAAGTCACTCAGCAACTGCTGTGTAAAACAAATGAAAACTTTAAATTTCTTTTAAGACTGCTCATTTCCAAATTGTTCTGCTTCAAAATGACAGATGCTTATTTGTGTCTTTCCTTGCTTTGATGAATAAAAGCAATACTTTCTTACTGTTATTTTACAGTTTGACATTAAAGGATTACTTTCACATTACTCAAAGGAGACTTGGGATTTAATGGATCTTGTGAGCTACTGTGTTTCTAGAAACTGAAGTTGGGAAAAAGTACCTATAGGAGAAATCTCATTTATTTCTCTATTAGTGGAAGATTGCTCCCATGGGATACTTTTGGCATGTTTTGTAGTAAAGCATCCCAAGGGATAGTTTGATGAAACCATTTACTAATGAAAGCAAAATAGTTTCAGGTAGGGAAAACACAATAGGAGCTATCTGGCAAATAAACCATTTCATTTTCACATGAATGCTGTTATTGCTAAGGGATAAAGGCAAGAAAAAAAGGAAAGAAAAAAACAACTTAAAGGAGTTGTACAGAATAGGAAACATTTTAAAACTGAGTCCTAGTCAAGGTTTATCCTGAAGTACTGATGACTAACAGTAATTTGTATTTGTTTTATATTTACAGTAGGGCATTCTCACATTGCAATAGTGTATGCACCTTCCCTCTTCCACAGTATGTCTTTTTCACGTTTCACATAAATACTATCTGCCTCATCCTGTGTGCCCAGAGCATTGATAGAAAAATGAAATTTTACTTTTTTTTAATCACTCCAAAGACTTAGTAAAGAGTCCACACATGCATGAATATAAAAGCATTTGCAGTACTTCCCCTACCTTTTGTTTTAGGAACAGGCACATCCAAACTCCAAAGGAGTAAAATTCCGCATTCCCACCACGCCCTGCATTTTTCATTTTGCTTTCATTCACATGTATATGAACATAAAAAATAAAGCTCTCCTGTTGTCTCTCAGCAATGAAATGCTGTGACCCTTGCTGCACACACATACCACAGCAGTCCCTTCAACAGTTCAAAGTACGGAGTGATTTCTGAAAGAACGTTCTCCACCAGACCGCAGTGCCAGAAGAGATCAAGGTTAACACTGGCACAGCTCTCCTAGCTTGAAAAGTGTGTACTTTAAAGAAGTGAAGGAGAAAAAAGCCCCTTAGATTTCTCAAAATGTTTCTATAAACATGTAAAACTGAAAGCAAGTCCTCTTTCTTCGCCCATCAAAATATGACTCTACCCGAAAGGTATTTTCAAGCATACTTTATCCAAGCTGGAAATATTTTCAGTGTGCACACATCACTTTTTCCAAAAAGGAAGCTGACAGGAAACTAATCCCTTTCCCTCTGTGATACAGCTGGCTTTCAACTTAAAAATGATAAATTATCCAGAGTTTTGCTAGTGACATTGAAACTGTGTAGCCACCTATTAAAAACAAATCATTGCCTCTAAAATATCCATTAAAGAAATTATTACAATACTGAACTGCTTCACATTCTCTCTTTAAATACTAAAATACGTTTCTCTGTTCTGCTGACTGTGAGGCCACACTATTTTGTGTATCATAGGTTCCTAATTACAAGCTTATTTGTAAGTACTTTTCATACAAGTATGGTAAATTTGTTTTTAACAGGAAGTCAGGAATTATCCCTATTTCCCCCTTCTTAGGTTCTCTGACGTTTTTCGCCTTCCTCGCCCTTAAATTGTGAACTACTTAATAACCCTTCTGCATCGACTATAATCTGTTGACATTTTAATAATGATACCTTCAATGGATCACTTAATCTTTTCATCAACAAAAAGGGTCCTGCCCTAATCAGAAAAAATTGGACAGGGGTCTGCCCGAGGCTCTGATTAAAGTTAGGGGTTTCTTCTTCACTTTTTGTTTGTCTTTTGTACTTTTTCCAGACATAAATATGATCCTTGACTGCCCATAATGCTTGATCTCATTTTGTTCATGGGCCTATTCCCCGCCATCACATCTGACCTTTGAAGCAGGGAAGTAATTACCTTTTACAAGAGGCAGCCTCCTGCACAAGAGCAAGACAGCCCTTTAAAGCAACCAAGCCTGCACAGTCAGTACTGCGTCATTTGACGGCTTTCTCCCATTCAGCTCTTCCTTGTCCGTTAAGTTAAGAGCAGTGGAAGCTTCATATGAGTTATTTTGTAAAAATGAAACTCGGCTGACAAAGAAAAGCAGCTTGCTTTCTACTTCTTACTACTTTACATATAGCTGGAAAAGAAAAATATTGCAACAAATACGACTTGTGTGAAGCTTTAAGGATGACAAGATGTATTGCTCCACTATGGAGCAAGTGCACATAGAGCACTGTGGAACAGGGGTGTGGAACTGAGAATCCCAGGTCTGTTTTGAAAGACTTAATGCTAAATAGGGTACCTTTGCTTCAAAACAGACTTGGAACATGAGCCAGTCACTGCAGGGTTACAAGGGCGGTTTTTATCTATCCACTTAATAAAAATGCCAACAGACAAAAACGTCAGAGAGTCCGCTCCAGGCTTGCAACAAGAATTAGAGTAAGTCGCCCTATGACTAGGGGAGCAGTTCACACCTCTCTAACACCACTTCACCTCCTGTCGCCACCCTGCTCGCACTTTCTCAGCTGGGTGAGAAATTAAGTACACTGCAAAAAGGGACAATATGATACTTGACCCAGTCCCAACTGGAATTAGAAAGAACTTGTTAGTAAAGGTCTCTGTTTCGAGGCATCTGCCACCTCCTATACATGCCCAGTAGAATTACTGATAATTTCAGTGCTTAAAAAAAAAAAATCTAGTGGATGAATTTGGTTCATCTCCCTGCAATGTGCAATGGCATATTACTAGGCAGACCAGCAATCTGGTGAGTATTCCAACTGTGTAATATTAGGAGAATGCAAAACAGTTTAAATTAACCTTTCATTTTTAGAACTCTGATTGTTTTATCGCACTCCTGTTTCAGCAGAAAATAGACATTCATTATCTGCCAAGGCAGAGAAAGAGAAAGGATGCCTGCCAGTATTTTACAAAGCAGCAGAGAATGGAGCAGCTAAAGAGTGAAAATGGAAATTAAATATTTAAAAATAGTTAGTACTATTAATATGACTTTGCATGAACAAAACTTTAAAGCAATGGAAAAACTTTGTTTCTTTGTACATCTAAATTACTTTTTTGAAAGAGTGGTCAGCACTGACTGAATCGATATTTTATCAGAAATTGAGACTGGAAGTTTCTTCCTGCATAAGCCTCAGCTTGAAATACTGTTAAAAAAAGCTCCAAAACACCTCTGTATCGAGGAACAATAAGGAGGAAGAAAGGCTTACAGAAAAATGGAAACAGTCTGAGTACAGTATTTTTAACATATCTCAATGGATATGTAAAACTATTAGTGAAAATCAGATTAATGTTACTTTTTCTAACGACTATAAACTAAATATCAAATATAGATGGATTCAGGCATTTTCTTTTCTTCCGTGTACGTATGGCCCTAGACTTCCTGCAAGAGCTAAGCCACACACTCCGCAAACACTTTTAAATTAAAATCCATCAGCTGAAGTGACATATGTGCACGCAAGCCGGATCTGTTGGCTCCATCAGCGGGGCAGCGAGATAAGGGTCATCCCCGCAGCGCAGCTAACGCTGCATTTACCCATGAGGCACAGTGCGCTCTAACAGCGACAGAATCAAAGCTCCCTGCTCTGGCTGAATCAAAGACTAATACCGACGTGCAGGCTGCCAAAAGCTGCTTTTCTAACCAATTTGCCTAGATGTCAAAGCTGAGTGATGCAGCGCATGGCTGTATCTTTGACTAAAGTAGCATACAATAGAGCCAAGCTGACAACCTGTGAAGCAGACTGTGTTGCTAGCTAGAAAAAGCTGGTGGTTTTTACAGTTATTTCCCAGTATTGAGGTGGTAAGTTCATTTTGAGAATTAGCTAATAAGAAAATGCTCTGTCTCCTTCTTCCCTCTGTCTAATCGCCAAATGTAGTTGCGTGGTTAGCCATGACCAAACCAAACCTCTCCAGGCATCTTAGCAGCATAAACCTGGCAAGTCTTTTCTCATTTTATACCTCCAGTTATTATTAGTTCTGATCACAAAGGCTGTAATTAGTAGCCAGTACACTAAAACCACTATCATATTTTAAAACAACATATTATTTGGGATGCTTTAAGATCTACTGTTGTTCTTTGATTTGTCATTTTTACATTCACATCTTCCTTTTCCTTCAAATCTTGCTGAACTATTCTCTTAGCAGAATGAAAAATAACCACAATAAAGACAAAATTTTGAAAACCAAGAAAACTTCAATATTTGAGCTTAAAATGGAAACTGGAGAGAGTCCTCAAGACCTAAATTTCAGTAAAGAACAAACCCCAAGCTTTTCCGTGAGTACAGACTTACTCATTCCCTTGACAATAATAGCAAAATTATCAGCGAAGCTGCAGGTTTAGATCCATAGGCACAAGCATTCATCTCTCAGAGTGACTATACTGTGAAAGAGAGAGAGATGATAACCAGAAAAGCAGAAATTTCCTTTTTACTGACGCCCAGTACCTCACCTTTAAACCTACATGCATGTAAAGAGGAAGTATATAAAAATAACATCAGATGCAAGGCATTATTCAGTATTCTCACTCACTCCAGAAACCTCACAGTTTATAAGTAGTGAAGTGCCCTGGTGCATTTGTTGGACTAATACACAAAGATAATGAGAACGTATGCTTACAGAAATCATCCAAATG